TTTCACTGGCCCCTGCTTGTAGTAAAAGATCAATGAAGAGTTACAGAGAGGAAATGAGAAGATGTGGTGGTATGAAAGGAGGCTTTGTTTAATGCAGTGGTGGTTGACATGTAATGCTTGACATCACACCTACAGTTCAGAAGTAAATCACAGCTAATCAAATATCATCGCAGCGTCTCAAACACATCCTGCAACACCTCGACTCCCCAGGGCCCTATGCACCGGCCCTCTTTATGGACTTGGCATTAAACACCATCATCCCAGACATCCTCCACTCCAAACTGACCCAGCTCACTGTGCCTGCCCCCACCTGTCAGTGGGTCACTAGCTTTCTGACAGACAGGAAGCAGCAGGTGAGGCTGGGGAAAACCACATCCAGCACTCGGACAATAAGCACAGGTGCCCCCCAGGGATGTGTGCTCTCCCCTCTGCTGTTTTCACTCTACACCAACGACTGCATATCGAAGGACCCCTCTGTCAAGCTCCTAAAGTTTGCTGATGACACAACAGTCATTGGTCTCATCCGAGACGATGACGAATCAGCCTACAGACGGGAGGTTGAGCAGTCCTACAAGTTCCTGGGCTCCACTATCTCCCAGGACCTGAAGTGGACGTCCAACATCAGGACCATCACCAAGAAGGCACAGCAGAGGATGTACTTCCTGCTCCAGCTCAGGAAGTTCGACCTGCCCCAGGAGCTGCTGATACAGTTCTACAGAGGAATCATCCAGTCTGTTCTCTGCACCTCCATCATTGTCTGGTTTGGCTCAGCAACCAAACAGGACAAGTACAGACTTCAGTGGACAGTCAGGACTGCAGAAAAGGTCATTGGTGTGAGCCTGTCCTCCATGGAGGACCTGTACACCTCAGGGGTCAAAAGGAGAGCGGAGAGGATCACTGCTGACCCCTTACACCCCGGACACAATCTGTTTGAACTCCTCCCCTCTGGATGGCGCTACAGGTCACTGTGCACTAAGACAACCAGGCACAGGGACAGTTTCTTCCCCCAGGCCATCACTCTGATGAACACTCAACCCACGACAGTATGATTGGACAATAACTCTCAGTGCAATACCTGTAAATATACCTTGTGCAGATTATACAGATCCGTACAGGTCTCTAGTTTTAAGTACTCTGTTTTTATCCCTATTTATCTCATTTCACAATGAGCATTCCTTTGTCTGCATTGTTTACTGTCTGTTTATACTGCTTTTTGTTACATTGTTTGCACTGGTTGTTGCTTGTTAATACTGCTTATTTTGTTATATTACACAGCCTTGTGCTGGTTTACTGTTTACTTGCATAAAGCAGATTCTGATTCTGACTCTAAAGCTATTATAACATGGTCAATTTAGAGTAAAAAAAAACAGCTGAATAAAGAGAGGATTTGAAGATGTTATTGTAAACATGACTGTTTTTTCTGCTGTTGGACCATGATGTACGACATACCATTCAGTAGCAGGTTTAACATGCATTTGACACGATCATTTAATCTTGCCCTTCTCTAACACACCTCTCTTCATTCGGCCCGAGGAGTTTCCTCTCCACAAAATTAAAAGCAGACAATCAATAACAGATCACTCTTGTGAAAACCACTCGCTGATGCTCCCATCTCACCCTCTAACTTCATCTTCAACTGTTTCCATGGAAACACTTCCTTCAGTCAAGTCACGTAGACAACATTATTTTGTTGTAGCTCACAAACTATTATAATGCAAACTAGAAGGCTGGTGTGTTCTTCATGTCTGCAGTAAGCAGTAACAACAACCGACTACTTGCATGACTGGTGTTGTTATACACCAAAGGAAAGAAGTTAAGTACATTTAATGAAGAACAACAAGATGGCAGCTCCAGCTGGTTTAATCTGCATGTAGAAATGTAAATAATGCAGAAGTAATAAGGCTTGATTGAGGCCGTGATATGAATCATTTATATTACTGCTCATTTCCCTTTATGTGAAGCGCAGGCTCCAAACATCCACAGCACTATTTTAATAGCATGTCACAATGGCAGAAACAAGAAAACGTGAAGTCTTTAAATATGAAAACGGTCCCCGTTCCTGATGTGAGGCCGTAATAATTGTTTCCGCTCCAGGTGATTTTTGAGCTTAAACTGTTACCTTACTGCAGCAACAAAAGGCCTATTTCAAGATTAAACTGAAAATAACTGCAAATACTGCTTTATGAAAGCCTAAACCATTTTAGTTCACATATGATTTGGCATTTAGATAAAAATAACAAGTGTGCAAATCATCTGAATGTCTACTTGTCTGTTTTGGTGAACACTTCACATGACCCAACAGTTCCTTTTTACTCTGGCTTAAACAGTCACACTGACCCTGAGCTTTGTCTCGTTATGTCAGTAAACACCCTTGTATCAGTATATCCTGTCACTGCCTGCTTTCTGAAATGACAAGGTAATTTAAGATAATGAGTGTGGGAAGAAATGGGGACAGAATCACTTTGTCTTAGCAGGCAATGAAAACAACCTCATGTTAAAGAACACAAGGGTTGATGATGAAGGCACATCACTGCTCAGCAGTATATAATATCTTTAGACAGGATTTCAAATTTGTCCATTGGCAGTTATTTCATCTTTTATTGTGATGGTAAACTTTAAAAATATAATGACCATACTAGTCAGGAACATTGCTTGTATGTATTTGATTACAGTGAAAGCTGAGCCAGGTTCAAACATCTTACCCACTGCCAAGCCCTGTTTGTTAGAGCCTTCTGTGAATGATGCCTTTCATCAGAGAGTGCTAGAGTTGGTCTAAATGCACTAAAAGAGAAAAATCAATTGTAGTCTCACCTGGCCAGAAAGCATTTTAAATAAAAACGACGCACACACACACACACACACTCCTCACCCACCACCGAATGATCACACTTGCAAGTATTTATAAATCAACCTCTGATTAAAAGCAACAAGTTAATGCTGCTTCTTGGGAGCTGTTTGAAAATATTCTAGGAGCAAATTGTAGTGCATGCAACTGCACAGTTTTATGACTATGAAAACTACACTGACCACTGGACTTAAGTTGTAGAACTGTAGTTGTTTCTCCACTCATCCAAGTGACAGGATCAGTTTTACTACCTGATGGTGACTGCTAGCCTTTTAAACCTACTGAAGAAGATTGGCAGAGTCACATCCACTAAGGTGTGAAACCGCCAGGGAGTGGATGTCAGGTAACATTGTAACTTCCTGATAGTCTTAAAAAAGGTGCCAAAGTTCATGCCCCTTTCCAAGTGACGTACAGTACTATACCACTCTTCAGGGCTGGTCTGGTCAATGTCGGAGGCCGTGATGATACAAGAATGTTGTAAAAAGTAGACAGTGGTATCACAGCCCACATGACTCTGTTCAGTGATACTGTAAGTGTGACATATAATGACAAACTATGCTCTGATCTCAATGCCTTTAGTTGAAACCTACAGAAAACCCATCTATCCAGATGTGTATCTGTTTGTACAGCAAACAGAAGCATGTCCAACAGGCACTGATAACCAGACTGTAAATGATTTCAACTGAGCTATGTTTTAAAGCTGTAGTTGGCCTGGGGAAAGGTGATGTTCAAAGTTGTACAGATTATCACGACATACAATCACAGCAAAACCTTCAATTCCTTCCTTCCTTCAAAGAGGCAGGAAGGAGTCATGGAAAATTTAAATGGATTTATAATTAAATGATAAACTACACGCATATAACTGAGTCTGACTTCACAAAGAAAAGAAATTCTACAGTCTATTGCTGTGCCATACCAACTAAGATGCACATAATCTAAGCCTGGACAAGCATCTGAGGGCGCTGCATAACCCAGCAGGCAGAAGGGCTACTTGGTATTCCAATCAGGTCAGAAGCAGAGAGTTAAGGAGAAGGAGAATGGGTTTATGTGCTCTGGTTCCTGCTTTGTAACCCAGTTGGAGCCTGAGAGATAGCTATAATAGAGATGGTGCTGGAAATATCTTTGTTAAACAACAATGAAATCTTTGACTGTGTAGTCACTGAGTCTCTTTTCTGTACGAGGACAGCGGTGTGAATGCAGATGGAATAAATTATGGGCCATGATCATGGTGCAAGAGATCAAGAGGAATGATCCATTTCTATAAACACAATTACATTTGTACAATTCATATGTGTATATTGATTTGGACTTCAGAGAGCTATGCATATTTAGGATGCAGCGCTCCATTGCAATAGAGCCATAGATGAGGAGGCACAAACTGATTTAGAATAAGCTTGTGTGGCTGATGCACTGCAATGCAATGCACATCCCATAAAGTCAGGTTAGGTTCTGTGACTACAGGAAATAAACTCCACATCTGTTCTTTCTGCTGCTGTTACTCTCAGAAATGAATGACTCAGTACTTGCACGTATACACACACACACACGCGCGTAATTCATACAAACGCTTGCATGGACGAGTATTTATAGATTCAGCTTCTCTAAGAGCAATCAGTAGATTGAAGTTAGAGCAGAGCAGTCACCTAAAAAGCCCCCTGGACACAAAAAGCTGGGGAAGGAAGAATGGGGTTGAAGATCAGGATCTATGTGTAAAGCTCAGGCTGAGTTTATAGAGCTGAATAAAATGTCAACATCCTCTGTTAACAGAATGAATATGGCACACCAACTCACAATGCAGGGAAAATGTGACGCCAGATAACTACACAGATACAGTGAAAGTGGCCATTAAATATCATACTCCACTTTGTGGCTTTGGATAAGTCAACGCTCGGTCCAAAACACAATTAGCTGCCCACATATCAGGGAGAAGATGTACTGTAGTCCCGGTTTGTCGGGTTTTGTTTCACTGCAGATTGAATGTTAGAAATCTTCATAAAGGAAATGGCACTATGGTTTAAGACATGAAAATAGATTCTCCCATTGACTTGTTAAATGACTTAAAGCTGAGGTGCCCTTCAATCCCGGTGGTAGTTTAAGTTTTGCCTTTTCTGCCATGTTGACTAACAGTTGACCTTTGATCTTTCTGGGTGTTTAGGATGCCTTGAATGCTGCATCAAATGCCTAGGTGGAATCCCATACCCATCCCTCATAGCCACCATCTTGCTATATGCGGGAGTGGCTCTGTTCTGCGGCTGTGGACACGAAGCCCTCTCTGGCACCGTCACCATCCTCCAGAACTACTTCGAGGTGGTGCGGAGTCCGGTGGACACACTGGATGTCTTCACCATGTGAGTAGGAATGGATCAGGCTGTTTTAAAGATTGATTAGTTGCTGAAGACAACATTATCTTCCAAATAACAGACAAGGCTCTTATACATCCTGCACTGTTAATTGTTCCATGTTGTTGTGGAGGTTTTCACTAGTTTTCTATTCATTCTCTAGGATTGATATTATCAAGTATGTGATCTACGGCATTGCATCAGCTTTCTTTGTCTATGGCATCCTGCTGATGGTGGAGGGCTTCTTCACCAGTGGAGCCATTAAAGACCTGTATGGAGACTTCAAGATCACCACCTGTGGACGCTGTGTCAGTGCTTGGGTAGGACCGCCACTGAATTGCATACTAACAGTTAAATTTACCTTAGGTTATATTATATCTACTGCTGATGGACACAGTACCTGCATGTGATCTCCTATCTTTTTCTCTTTCAGTTCATCATGCTGACATACATGTTCATGCTGGCTTGGCTCGGAGTGACTGCTTTTACCTCACTCCCAGTCTTTATATATTTCAACATCTGGAATATTTGCCAAAACACTACTGTGCTGGACGGGACTAAACTCTGCCTAGACCCACGCCAGTATGGTACAGATGAATATGCTATCTTCTTTTTTTGTACACACAGCATTCAGATTCTCTAGCAGCTAAGGCTATAGATAATTAATAGGAAGTAGAATTATATTTTGGCATATAGCACAACACATTTCCTAATGGCATAAAGATCTTTATACCTTTTTTTGTTTGTTTGTTATAAAAAAATGTGTTAAGTCACTTCAGAAATGAAATACTTCAAACAACCCAATTTGAAGGTCCATATTTTTAAATTTACAACGTTTTGGACACAGTGTTTCTCCTCAAATTACCGTCCTACAAACTTTAACAATCCAGAACAACTTGCTGGGCTACAAGTCCATCATAACAGTGACTCATTAGTTTTAATTTGTGCCACCTTTTTCAGTCCATTAGCTACCAGCAGCCACTAATACAGCTGCTGTGTCAACAACCATTTGTGCTGCCACATCACATTAGAGGCTTATATACTGCCTGGGTTTGACTATGCATCCAGTAGACTGTATTATAATGCTTTGTTAGTACACACAAACCTCTTGCAATTTTTTTGTTATCTGTCTGCTTTTTACAGCACAGCGCTCCACACTCATACTTATACATGCTTTATAAATTGACTTATTTCAGGTATTGTGCCGATCACAGAGACAAAACCGATGTGTACTGGAACAGAAAAGTTCAG